GCCCGTTGATTTGAAACAACCTTACAGAATGGTCGTCTGCACAGGAGGCTAGCTCCAAGCAGCTTCCTTCCCCCTTTCCTACGCCCGCCTCCCTACTACTATCCTCAACCCTCGTCCCTCCTGCCCTGCTATCTCCCCTCCCACCCTCCCCTCGCCATCGCAGCCTATGAACAGCTGCCAGGTGGCAATGAATGTTCCCAAGGTCAGATTCCCAGGTCAGATTCCCAGGTCAGATTCCCAGGTCAGATTCCCAGGTCAGATTCCCAGGTCAGATTCCCAGGTCAGATTCCCAGGTCAGATTCCCAGGTCACGTCCCCAGGTCAGATTCCCAGGTGAGATTTTGAGGTGAGATTCCCAGGTCACATAGTCAGTCAGTTTCCCAGGTCACATTCCCAGGTCAGATTCCCTGGTCAGATGCCCAGGTCAGATTCCCAAGGTCACATTCCCAGGTCAGATTCCCAGGTCACATTCCCGGGTGAGATTCCTAGGTGATGTTCCCGAGTCAGAATCCCAAGTCAGATTCCTATGTCCAAATCCCAAGCCAGATTCCCAAGTCAGATTCCCTGGTCAGATTCCCAGGTGAGATTCCTGAGTAAGATTCCCTAGTCGGATTCCCAAGTCAGATTCCCAATTCAGATTCCCAAGTCAGATTCCCAGGTCAGATTTCCAGGTCAGATTCCCAGGTGAGAATCCCAGGTGAGATTCCCAAGTGAGATTCTCAAGTGAGATTCCATGGTGAGATTCCTGAGTCAGATTCCCAAGTCATATTCCCAGGTCAGATTCCCAGGTCACATTCCCAAGTTAGTCAGTTTCCCAGGTCAGTCGGAGTCAGATTCCCAGGTCACATTCCCAGGTCATATTCCCAGGTCAGCTGCCCAGGTCAGATTCCCAAGGTCACATTCCCAGGTCAGATTCCCAAGTCAGATTCCCAGGTCGCATTCCCACGTGAGATACGCAGGTGATGTACCCGAATCAGATTCCCCCAAGTCAGATTCCTATGTGAAATTCCCAAGTCAGATTCCCAGGTCGGATTTCCAGGTCACATTCCCAGGTCAGACTCCCAAGTCAGATTCCCACGTCACATTCCCAGGTCAGATTCCCAAGATCACATTCCCCGGTCAGATTCCCAGGTCAGTTTCACAGGTTACATTCCCACGTGAGATTTGCAGGTGATGTTCCCGAGTCAGATTCCCCCAAGTCAGATTGCAACGTGAAATTCCCAAGTCAGATTCCCAGGTCACATTCCCAGGTCAGATTCCCAGGTCAGATTCCTGAGTCATATTCCCTAGTCGGATTCCCAAGTCAGATTCCCGAGTCAGATTCCCAGGTCACATTCCCAGGTCATATTCCTAGGTCAGCTGACCAGGTCAGAGTCCCAAGGTCACATTCCCAGGTCATATTACCAGGTCACATTCCCATGTTAGACTCGCAGGTGATGTTCCCGAGTCAGATTCCCCCAAGTCAGATTCCTATGTGAAATTCCGAGGTCAGATTCCCGGGTCAGATTCCCAGGTCAGGTTCCTGAGTCATATTCCCTAGTCGGATTCCCAAGTCAGATTCCCAAGTCAGATTCCCAAGTCAGATTCCCAAGTCAGACTCCCAGGTCAGATTCCCAAGTCAGATTCCCAGGACAGATTTCCAGGTCACATTCCCAAGTGAGAATCCCAGGTGAGATTCCCAGTTGAGATTCTCAGGTGAGATTCTCAGGTGAGATTCCCAGGTGAGATTCCCTGGTGAGATTCCTGAGTCAGATTCCCAAGTCAGATTCCCAGGTCAGATTCTCTGGTGAGACTCCTGAGTCAGATTCCCGAATCAGATTCCCAAGTCACATTCCGAGGTCACATTCCCAGGTCATATTCCTTGGTCAGCTGCCCAGGTCAGATTCCCAAGGTCACATTCCCAGGTCAGATTCCCAGGTCAGATTCCCAGGTCACATTCCCACGTGAGATTTGCAGGTGATGTTCCCGAGTTGGTTCCCCCAAGTCAGATTCCTATGTGAAATTCCCAAGTCAGATTCCCAAGTCAGATTCCGAGGTCGGATTCCCAGGTGAGATTCCTGAGTCAGATTCCCTAGTCGGATTCCCAAGTAAGATTCCCAGGTCAGATTCCCAACTCAGATTCCCAGGTCAGATTCCCAGGTCAGATTTCCAGGTCAGATTCCCAGGTCAGATTTCCAGGTCAGATTTCCAGGTGAGAATCCTAGGTGAGATTCCTAGGTGAGATTACCAGGTGAGATTCCCTGGTGAGATTCCTGAGTCAGATTCTCAAGTCAGATTCTAAAAATCATATTCCCAGGTCAGATTCCCAGGTCACATTCCCAAGTCAGTCAGTTTCCCAGGTCTGTCGGATTCCCAAGTCGGATTCCCAGGTCGGATTCCCACGTGAGATTCCTGAGTCAGATTCCCTAGTCGGATTCCAAAGTACGATTCCCAAGACAGATTCCCATGTCAGATTCCCAGGTCAGATTCCCAGGTCAGATTTCCAGGTCAGATTCCCAGGTCAGATTTCCAGGTCAGATTTCCAGGTGAGAATCCTAGGTGAGATTCCCAGGTGAGATTTCCCTGGTGAGATTCCCTGGTGAGATTCCTGAGTCAGATTCTCAAGTCAGATTCTAAAAATAATATTCCCAGGTCAGATTCCCAGGTCACATTCCCAAGTCAGTCAGTTTCCCAGGTCACCTTCCCAGGTCGTATTCCCAGGTCAGCTGCCCAGGTCAGATTCCCAAGGTCACATTCCCAGGTCAGATTCCCAGGTCACATCCCCATGTGAGATTCGCAGTTGATGTTCCCGTATCAGATTCCCCCAAGTCAGATTCCCAGGTCGGATTTCCTGGTCAGATTTCCAGGTCAGATTCCCAGGTGAGATTCCTGAGTCCGATTCCCAAGTCAGATTCCCAGGTCACATTTCCAGGTCTGATTCCCTGGTCAGATGCCCAGGTCAGATTCCCAAGGTCACATTCCCAGGTCAGATTCCCACGTGAGGTTCGCAGGTGATGTTCCCGAATCAGATTCCCCCAAGTCAGATTCCTAATTGAAATTCCCAAGTCAGATTCCCAAGTCAAATTCCCAGGTTAGATTCCCAGGAGAGATTCCTGAGTCAGATTCCCGAGTCAGATTTCCAAGTCAGATTCCCGAGTCAGATTCCCAGGTGAAATTCCCACGTGATATTCCAGAGTCAGATGCCCAAGTAAGCTTCCCAAGTCAGATTCCCAGGTTAGACTCCCAGGTCAGATTTCCAGGTGAGATTCCCAGATGAGATTCCCAGGTGAGATTCCCAAGTCAGATTCCCTAGTCTGATTCGCAAGTCAGAATCCCAAGTCTGATTCTTGAGCCAGATTTCCAGGTCAGATTCCCAATTATTGCCATGAGCATAGTAATCTCACTCCAAATTTTCTTTCCCTTTATCAGGATCCCATAATGATCCTGTCAAATTCCCAGGTGAGATTTTCAAGTCAGATTTCCGAGTCAGAATCCCAAGTCGGATTACCAAGTCGCATTCCCAAATCAGATTCCCAGGTCACATTCCCTGGTCACAATCCCAGGTCAGATTCCTGGATCAGATTCCTAGGTTAGATCCCCAAGTCAGATTCCAAGGTCTGTCAGTTTCCGAAATCAGTCAGATTCCCAAGTCAGATTCGGCAAGAGATTTCCAGGTGAGATTCCCAAGTTCGATTTCCTAGTCAGAATCCCAAGTCAGCTATCCAAGTCAGATTCCCAAGCCAGATTCCCACGTCATTTTTCCAGGTCAGATTCCCAGGTCAGTTTTTTTAGGTGAGATTCCCAGGTCAGATCCTTAAGTCAGATTCCCAAGCCCCAGGTCTGATTCCCGTTGTCACGTATGCTCTCGTATACCCATGTTATATTAGTTTTGCGTGTCAGGTACGTATAATCTTTTTCCCATTGTCATTTCCAATCTCAGATTCCCGCTTTCAGATTCCCATTTCCAATTCTTAGTGCCAACTTTCCATGTCAGACTTCCGTTGCCAGATTTCCATATCAGATTCATCTGTCAGAATCTCATTGTCACATTCACCCACAGCCACATTCCATTTTCCAATTCCCGTGGTCAGATTCTCACTTCATTCTTCTTTTTTCCCCAGATTCCAGCTGACTACGTTCCAGCTGCTCGAATCCTATATATTCCCCGTTGTTCAATTATTACTGTCAGATGCTGACTGTCAGAATTCTATGTCAGATTTCTGAGCCAGATGATTCCCATTGTCAGATTTCCGTTGTTAGATAGCCATGGCATATACTCATGTCATGTTCCCGCTTCATTTTTCCATGTCAGGTTCGTATTCCCCAATCCCCCGTAGTCAGTTCTCTATTGTCAGAATTGTAATTTTAGATTCCCGTCTACAATTCCCAGTGCCGACGTTCCATGACTGACCTCATTGTCAGATTCCCATCTCAGGAATTCACAGTCGAATCCCCATTGTCAGATTCACCCTTAGTCAGGTTCCTTTGTCAAAACCTGTCACCAGATTCTTATTGCATATCAACATAACAGCTTTTGATGCTTTCGCACTCTCATGCCTCATTCACCCTGATTCCTGCCATCGACTCACCTCTCTCATTCGCTGATTTTACTGCCCAAACCGCTCCTCATGCTTACTTACGTGTCATGCCCCAACCTGCTTCCTTCCCAGCTGGCCAACCGCTCCCAGCTCGCCCATCACTGTACCTTTATCGAAAGATTCGTCGGCTATGTACACTATATACACTTGCTTACAACATTTTCCGAACCTCTAATTCCGCACCTGCACCTCCCGCGCTGTCCCATAAAACTCGGTAACGGGTACAACGAGGTTCATGCGACAGCTGTCGCATAGCCTCCTCCCCTCCCCGCAGCTCTCATCTGCAATGCCTAACCTGGTTCCTAAGATTCTTTGCCTTCCCTACGCTTGTATGTGATGAGTTTCGACTCCCCTGACTCATGCCCCCTCTCGGTCTGCCCTGCGCCCCGCTGCTTGGTCGCGAACCGGATGCTCGGGCGACATTCGTCACATGATCCTGAACCGACCTCCCTGGCGCATTCTGTAGTGTCAGGACCCCCGACTCCTCCTTCCTGCGCACGACCCACCGCTGCTTACTCAGGCCACACTCCAGCGTATTATGCCGCGGCTCCTTCAGGTACACCTCATCCCCAATTTGCAGCTCAGTCCCATGCCTAGGTCCTCCACCTACTCCTTCCTTCCGCTGTCGGTAGCATCGAGCATCACGGAGCTGCGCCACTTCCAGATTTTCCAAGGCTGCTGGCAGCACGCTGCGGAGGTAGCTAGCGCATCTGGCTGCCACCGCCGCCCAGGTGCGCGGGTCGTCAGTGGACACCGACTGCACCATTATCAGTGGAGCGTCCACCGGCAGCACTGGCTCCTTCCCGAAAACCAGATAGTACGGGGAATAATCCTTCAGAGCCTGCTGTTTGCTGAAGCGATACCCCGCCGCCACCCACGGCAGATGTTGGTCCCACTCCCTTTGCTCTTCCTCCTTGCAGTACTTCCTCAGGCCCATCTTCAGAGTCTGGACCATTCACTCTGTCAGGCCATCAGCCCGGGGATGGTACCGTGAAGTCCGCCGCTGGGTGATGCCCACCTCTTGCAGCAGGCCGTGGAATTCTCCCGCAAATTCTCCACCCTTGTCCGTCAGAACTTCCCCACATGCGCCGACCTGGTTACGACTTGCTGGGTGAAAGCCTTTGCCACTGCTGCTGCTGTCTTCCATGCCAGTGCTGCCACCTCTATCCACTTGCTCGTGAGCTCGATCATCACGGAATGTATTGCTTGCCTCGCCGAGATAGCGGCATTTCCCCCACCATGTCTAAGGACCAGCGATACCCGATTGAACCGATGGGTAGAGACTGCAGCTCTGCCTTGGTTCGCTCCAGCTTTGCCTTGCTCTGGCTGCATGGCTCACATCTGGCCAGCACTTCCTTCACTTCTCTTCTCAGGCCCGCCCACCAGTACATGGTCTGCAGCATCTGTACGGTCCGTTCCACGGCATAGTGCCCCAACTGTGTATGTACTTTCACGATCAGGGCCTCCCTTTCCTCTGGCCGTGGCACTATCCGCCACCCATCTTCTGTCACCAGCTGCTGCTGATCCGTCTGCCATCGGTAATGCACCCCCCCGCACTCGCACCCTCTCAGGAACTTCTTCCCCTTCCGGTCCTTTGGGGTTTGGTTCGTCATCAGCCAGAGCAGTGGTTGGTGATCGGTCACCAGCGTGAACTTCCTCCCCTGCAAGTAGGGCCGGAACAGTGCTATCCCCCACACTGCCGCTAACCCCTCTCCCTCGTACGAGCTATAATTGCTCTCCGCTGGGCTACATGACCTGCTGGCGTACGCCACCACCCTCTCCATTCCTTTTTCTTCCTGACAGAGCACAGTGCACATCCCACTGCTGCTCCAGTCTGTGTACAGCAGGAAAGGCTCGTCTGGGTTAGGCAGCTTCAGCAGCAGCGCCGTCTTCACGGCCTCCTTGAGGGTGGTCCATGCTCTCTCTTGCTCTTTCCCGCCCTTCCATCCTTCATCCTCACTTAACAACTGATTTAGTGGCTTGGCTGTCTTGCTGAAGTTCGGGATGAACCTGCGGTAGTACCTCAAGAATCCCAGCTGCGCTCTCAGAGTGCTACGATCTGTGGACGCCTTCAGCCTGTCAACCACCTCCGCCTTCGCCTGCTGCACCGAGAGCCCGCCTTCTCCCACCTGAAACCCCAGGTAAGCTACTGTCTTAACCCCCAAGTGGCATTTCTCTGGATGGCACGTCAACCCCGCCACCTGGATAGTCACTAAGGTCGCCGCCACGTCAGCTACGTGTTGCTCACCCATCTGGCTGTAGATGACGACGTCGTCAATGTAGCATAGTGCCCGCGGCACCTCCTGGAGGACTTGGTCCATTACTCTTTGAAACTTTGCCGATGCGTTCTTCAAGCCAAATGGCATGAAGTTCTATTTGAAGAGCCGGTCTGGACCGTGAAACGCGGTCTTGGCCTTATCTTCTTCCTTGATTGGGATCTGATTGAATCTCTGCCGGAGGTCTAAAGTTGAGTAAATCCTCCCTTCCGCCAGCTTGTCAAAAATCTCCTCCGCCATCGGCATGGGGTACCTATCGCTCTTCGTCATGCGGTTCAGGCCTCGATAATCCTCCCACATCCGTCTTGCTAGCATTTCTCCTGTCAAGTACTTGTGTACCGCTACCACAGTTGCCGCTGCATACTCTGATGTTGATTCTTGAATCAAGCTGGCTGCTAGCACCTCTTTGCATTTGGCTATAGCGATGTCGCGATCCCCTGGACTCAGTCTCCGTCTCCTTTGATACACAGGCTCAGAGCTCTGCAAATCAATCTCCATCTCTGTCCGGTTACACTTGCCCAGTTCTGCCAGTGAGTATGCGAAGGCGTCTCTGGCCTTCTCGAGTACCCCCGTTAGTTCCTCCTTCTGTCCCTCCTCCAGCCCCTCCCCTATGTCCCACTGACTCTCCTCAGGGGGAGCATCCCTAAGGGGGGGGGGCTCTGCCTCCAGCTCCTCGTTCGTATCTTGCCGCTCCTCAGCCTCCTGCGTTGCTCTCGCCAAGAGGCTGATTCATCTGCTATTCAAGCACTCTTCATCCCGCCTACCTTCCTCCCTTGCCTCCACTTTCATCCTTTGCCATGCCTTCGCTATGTCCATGGCTTGAACTGGGTCTGCCTCTAGCATTTCTTCTATATCCCTCCACCTCCAAATCATCAGCAGCTGCTTGTGCATTGCCTCCTATCGCTTCTCTGCCCGGTACATCAACCATACCAGTGTGTGCTGATCTATCGCTCCCCCTAGAGCTCGCCACCTCTCTGCTTCCATCACTCCCTCTACTGCGGTTGCATTTCTCAAGTACCCTATTGCCCGCTCTCGCTCCACTGCCAAGGGTTCCTCCCATTCTCCAGTGGACAGGACCTGCACCATTCCGGGCCCTGGCTGTCCATCCTGCATCCGGAAGGCATAGCTGCCTGGGGTCGCTACCAGCGTGGGCCAGGCCTGACGTGGTGCCCCCACTTCATTGCATGGGTACTACACTCGAGCGTCGGGCATGGTTACCGGAGCAGCCCGCCTGCCTGGTTCCAAGATGTCCGTCTCAAAATCGTACGTGGGCTCTGTCAAGCCCTTTGCTTCACGGCACTCTTCCACTCTCGGGCCGGCTGCTTCCTCCCATCTCCGCCTCTCACTGCTCTTCTCCAGGTACACTCCAGCATCCTTGAATCGGTTTTCAGGCACCCGGTCTGCGGACGGCTCCCTGTACACGGGTCTCCCTCTCAGGAACCGAGCGGGCAATACAGCCGCTGTACTCTCTTCTCGCCGTAAGTCTGCATCCCAGTATCATGGCTGGTACGTGACCTTCTCTGCCCAGGTGTCCACGACTGCCCCGATTTTTTACAACAGCTCCATACCTAGCAATAGATTGTAATCATCGGAATCCGAGATGAGGCAGTGCACCCTGAGTCTCGCTTCGTTCTCTTTCCCGGGAGCCAACACTACCTCCTGCAAACGCAAGGTCCTTGGCAGGCATTTGCCTACCCCCCCTTTCTGCTGTCGGTATCCTCACCCCTTCAGGTGTCACGTTTTCCTCTTGGTGGAGCCCCAAATGCTCGGCCAGTCGCCTACCGATCAGCACCTGGGAGGCACCCATGTCAATGATCGTCGTACCTAGGTAATTTCCTTCTACCTCCACGGACCCTTCCACTGCTTCCACCACGCACGGACGTGCCGCCATACGCTCAAAGGGATGCATGCGTGGCCCATGGCTGCCCCCTGCACGTGCCACTGCCTCCGCTACAGCTTCCGCTGCACGCTGCACCGCTGGGGAGGGCTCCATCCTCGGCCCTCTGTGCCCCTGTTGCATATCTCGGCGTCCATCTCTGCCCCCGATGCGCAGCCCCAGGTCTTCTCGGTCTCGATCTCTCCCCGAGGCCATGAAGAAGGGCTCTGGCAGCTCCCCCTTATCCTCTTGGTCTGTTCAAGCCATTAGTGCTCCCTAGTCCTCCTCTTCCTCGCTGCCCTCCGCCTCCCCCTTGAGCTTCCTGAGCTCTTCTTCCAGTGCTTCTATGCGACTGCGTCTGCCCCCACGGCTCCGTTCCTCTCTCTGCTTCGTGTAGCAGTCGTCGGCCGCATGCCCCTTTCGCTGGCAATATGTACAGGATTGCAACTTGGGGCAGTCTCGTTTGAAGTGCCCGGGCTCCCTGCACTTATAGCACACAGGCTCTTCACCCGAGGGCGGAGTCGCACTTTTTGCCCTCCTCGCCCGTCCCCTCTGATTCCTGCCTTCCAGCCCTCCTTCCTCATCTCCTTCACTGTCTGCCATCATGGCTCCACCCCAGCTTACTCCCCTGCGATCACGCTCGTGGGGCATGGTCCGTTCTGCCCTCTTCCCGAGGTCATACATGCTCAGGGACTGCTCATTCCGCCATGCTATCGCATACGCCTGACGAAGCGTGGCGTTCGGCCGTAGGTTGTACGTGTGGTCTCGCACCGTCCCCACCAGATCTCTCGACAGCCCATCTAGGAACTTCGCCACCACTATCCGTGGCTCGTTGCAGCTGATGACGTCAGCCAGCTGATCCACCCGCCGGTAATACGCTAGCAGTGACTCTCTTGAGGCCCTCCGCAGCTGCTCAAACTCTCTTAGCCGCGCCGCGTCTGCGTGGGGAAATGGACCTGCAGCTCGGCGAGGAACCTCTCCGTCGGATCTCTTAGCATCAAGATCCATCCCTCCTCATCGCGGCAAACCCGGCCCAAAGCATCCCGCTCCTCTTCCTGCAGCAGCAGATCGCGCACTTCCAGTAAGAACGCCTCCACGTCTCCGGCCAGCGTGTTCCCCAGGGAGCGAAAGAAGTGCCTTAAGTCCAATCCATCTTGCTCCCAGCAGAACTTCTCGCAGTGGATGTGCATCACATACGCCTTAAGCCGCGTCCCAATCTCCTGGTCGCCCGTAAAGCGAGCTGGAACCTCCACTTTTGGAAGGCTGGTGTAGCAATATCTCGTCCCCTCCTCCCACAAGGACCGCCTTGACGGCCCTCCCACGGACGCGCCCCTCCCCTCGATGGCACCTCCGCCACCCATCTCGCTTAAGCGCGCAGATGTGGCGACCTCTGCGGATCCGGCTGCCCTCGAGTCCGAGACCCCTCTGCTGCGCTCCGCGATGCCCGAAGGGATTCCTCCTCTTCCCGCCGATGGGATTCCTTCTCCCGGATGGCGATCTGCTCGCATGGCGAAACTGCTAGAGCCACAAATCTCCTCGTCCCACTCTTGCGCTCCTTCGCCAGCCTTCTCGCGCGGAGATTCGCGCTTATCCTCGGACGATTCCCGTCGCTGTTCTTCGCCTCCTTCGTTTGGTGACACGTTCTCCTCCCCCAGCGGGGGAGTCTCTCCCACAGGTAGGCGCATGCCGCTACGCTGTGACATGCCCACCATAACTCTGTTTGTACGAAAAAGCCCAAGACTCAATCTCGCATCCTGATCCTCTCAACTGCACCTCTGTCCGACCTCCCTACATGGATCTAGCGTTGCTCAAGAGTAAATCCACTAGTAAGAGAGCATACAGGCTTTCCCATGATAACGAGAGAACAAACAGAGTAGCAACAACTACCCCTCCTTACTACTTTTGTGCTCCTCCTCCTAGCAGTCCCACTCCGAAGCCAAACCCTGCCCTCCCAGCTGCTTCCGCTGCGCGCCGTTTTGGGAGTTTCTCCTACTATGATGGCCCTGTGATTCCTGCCATCGACTCACCTCTCTCATTCGCCGCAAGCCACTGCCCAAACCGCTCCTCATGCTTACTTACGTGTCATGCCCCAACTTGCTTCCTTCCCACCTGGCCAACCGCTCCCAACTCGCCCATCACTGTACCTTTATCAAAAGTGCCGTTGGCTATGTACACTAAATATACTTGCTTACAATATTCTCTGAACCTCACATTCCGCGCCTGCACCTCCCGTGCTGTCCCATGAAACTCGGTAATGGGTACAACGAGGTTCATGCGACACAGCTGCAATATGCCTCGATTCATTGAACAGAATTGGTTTGATCAACGAAGGATCTGTAATCGAATATAGGATTTCTTAGGTCATGTCTGCTATCAAATCAGGTTGTCCTTCTGCAAATTTCGTGTCTTGCTTACCAACCTCGAGACTAGAAACTATACTTGCATAATTGCATACAACCCTATGCACATATGCACACACGCCCATGCATACATGCACACATGCACGTCCTTCATTGCTCGCATTTTCCATGACTACTTTTCAAGTCCTGTCCCACACCCGTGGCCAGTCACACACCCATGGCCTGTCACACACCCATGGCCTGTCACGCACCCATGTCCTGTCAAACACCCATGTCCTGTCACACACCCATGGCCTGTCACACACCCATGGCTTGTCACACACCCATGGCCTGTCACTCACCCATGGCCTGTCACACACCCATGTCCTATCACACACCCATCTGCTGTCACATACCCATGGCCTATCACACACCCATGGTCTGTCACACACACATGGCCTGTCACACACCCATGGTCTGTCACACACCCATGTCATATCACACACCCATGGCCTGTCACACACCCATGGCCTCTCACACACCCATGGCCTCTCACACACCCATGTCCTATCACACACCTATATCCTGTCACACACCCATGTCTTGTCACACACCCATGTCCTGTCACACACCCATGTCCTGTCACACACCCATGTCCTGTCACACACCCATGTCCTGTCACACACCCATGTTCTGTCAGACACCCATGTCCTAGTGGGCGCACACTACTAGCCTTTAAAACACCCATCATGAAACTCTTTTATTATTCAGTTTCGCTTTACCCTTCCCCTCTTCCTTCGCCCCTGTCCCGTCACGCCCATTTTCTTCCCCCGTCGCCCCCTTTCACTCGCCCACCACCCATTTTATATCTCTCGCGCCCATTTTCCAACCCCACGTCACAAAAATGTGGATCTCACCTATATTGTAGGTATAGTTGTTCGTATAACAAGGCTACTCCATAGCAGACGTATCTATGCCGTACCTATTGTATACCTACTCCGTATTTATGGTCCTCGTATTTTGGGACGCACCAATGCATTGCCTTGTACAGAAGCCATCTCCTTTGGAGCTCGCCCACTCCATCCCTTCTCATGGCGAAATAGGGAAAGATACACACAATGGATCATATGCTATATTGACATAGTAATTTTCTCGGTAGATATGGCCCTTTGCGCGTACGAGGACGGAGTGTATGGTTCAAGTTGGAGTCGCGTACTTACATTACATTACTAGTCAACTTCACGGAACAAGAGCAGATGCTTTCAGAGCGGTACCATGGGTTCCCTTGATCTTTCGCGTGCGCTCTATTCTGACATAGTTTTGCATCCTCAGCCGCATCACACGGCTCAGCAGCACTCAAGTTCAGGCCTGAGATGCAACACGTATGAGGCTGACTCGGGAAAAAAAAATCGACAATCCGATTGGTTGGGGCATCGTTTGACAAACGCAGTCGCATCCAGGCTACGAACACACGAACCGCCGAACGGAACCCATGTTCGAAGGCTAGTTGCCCTGAACGTATAATATTTGAGGGTATGTCGGGGCATTGATTTTGAAATTCTAGTTTCGAAACATTTTTCAAGTGGCGAACGCGGGGATCTGGACAATTTAGACGTAAACATTTCTACCACCTGCCATCCCTTTTCATTTTCAATAGTGATGTCGGGAACCTTGTTTTCGTCAAAGCACGCCTCCCGCCAGGGGGCTATGCTCGACGAGCAACTACCCAAATGCTGATTCTTTAACGGGTGGCTTTTGACCGGAACGCCCTCTTTGACGGATTCGGGTCCCACCGACTCCGCTGGTCTCGGGTCTCTTTTTGCTCGAACCTGGCTTTTAACCTAGGTTCTGGCAGATTTTGACCCGAAAACGGGCCCTGACGGGTACGAAGTCCCCCAGATGACGACTGGTTAAAAATCCATTCTGAAGCAACGCGCCCCCAGAGTAAATCCTGAGGGGTACCATGGTCCATCCATGGGTTCCCTCGTTCAGGGAACCCTCCTCCGCAACAAAGCCCCACATCCCCAGCCGCATCATACGGCTCACACACAGCCAACGCGTTTCGAGACCCACACAAAAATCAATCGCCAATCCGATTGGTTGGGGCATTGCATCACTCGAAACGGAGTGCTTTTGTAGCCGAGGTTCAACACAAAACAAGCAGCCGTACCACGATAAAACGCATGAGACCGCGTGTTTATTCTCTACACCGCTTGCCACCCATTTTCATTTTCGAGCGTGAGTCCCGGAACCCTTCGTTTCCTCCACAGCGCACCTCACGCGCCGAGAACCCAGCCGCTTCTGCTCCAACGAATGCTCATCGCCAGAGCATAAAGCAGAGCCCTGTTCTGCTCGATACATTCCTCCCTTCCCTACTCATCAACCTCCACATGCCCCTTATTTTTTCTTTCCTTCCTTCCTATCCCAAGTTATCCAAGTTGCCATATCATCACACAAGTCTCTCATGATTCCTCACATTCCTCACCTTCCAACTCAACGAAGCTTTCATTCCTCCTCCTTTCCTTCCTTTCCAACTCATCCTAGTTTCTCTCCAACACCACATGGTTTACAACTCCAAGTCACCAAAGGCTCAACAACCATCACATGCTCCGCTACTATTCATCTTCACCAAGAATCCTCTCCAACTTCTCAAGAAGTTTCTCAAAGTACAACAAGGCATCTCCAAGCTCCTCTCCTTCAAGCTCCCCTTCAAGTCTTCTTCAAGCTCCTCAAGTTCACACCACTACAAAGGCTCCTTGTTAGCATTCATGTTCTATGTCTCTAGAGATGGTATTACCATGCTACCTTTCTTCCTAGGCTACTATGAGTGGTCTCTCTCTCATGCATGTCCTTGTATCCACTATGGATTATAAGGCTTGTACTATACCGTATTTCATATAAGTTTATGCTCTCAGAGTTCTCCCACAAAGTTCCTAGATCAGCAAAGTAATCAAGCATTCGTATATCTTATACCCAACTCGAGTATAAGATGCATCACGAAGCCACAAGCTTGTAGGAAGATTCTCTTCTTCAACACTCAACCTTGTGGCACCTTCACTTTTCAAGTACAAGGCCCTCTCCTTCAACCACATCCAAGATTGTGGTCCCTCCTCGAGCTTGTGGTCTCCTCCCAAGCTTGTGGTCTTCTTCCAAGCTCAAGATCCTTTCCAAGTGCAAGTCCTCCTCTATCAAGAACCACTCCCAAGATCTTACAACTCTTCTATTTTGTAAGACACACAAGTGAAAGTCTTTCAACCTTGTTCACACGCATCTCTCTCTGGACAAGTCTCTTTTTTACTTGCTTGAGTACATTTCCCTTATTTCTTACAAGCACATTATAATCCAATTTATATGTGCTACAGTTCTACTATTGCACTCTTGTCCTATTCAATCGTGCAATTATACTCTTTTGTCTTTATCTAAATTCTCTTCAGGGGGAAGTTAGGCAGAATAAGGGATGGGAGTGGGGGGGATAAAGGATGAGACTAGGGGGAGGGAAGAAAGATATGGAGTAGGGGGAGATAAGGGAAGGGTGTGGGGGGAATCAGGGAAGGTAGTGGGGGGAATATGGGATGGGGGAATGAGGGTAGGGAGTTGTGGGAACAAGGGAATGGTATGGGGGGGATATGAGAGATGGAGCACTCTTCGTGGCTTTGGCACCCATGGGTCCGCCCCATCTCAGCCTCTCTCCTTCCTTCCGCACCTCTCTCCTTCCTTCCGCACCTCTCTCCTTCCTTCCGCACCTCTCTCCTTCCTTCCGCACCTCTCTCCTTCCTTCCGCACCTCTCTCCTTCCTTCCGCACCTCTCTCCTTCCTTCTGCACCTCTCTCCTTCCTTCCGCACCTCTCTCATTCCTTCTGCACCTCTCTCCTCCCTTCTGCGCCTCTCCTCTTCCCTTCCACATTCCGCTCCTCCCATCCGCTAGATCTTCTAGGTGGGTACAGGCAGGGGCAGTGGAACACGTTTCTCTCTCTCCTACGTGCAACTCTCAAACCCCTAGTCTCTGGCTTCGGTTTGCGTCTTTCGCGCTGTGCAAAATCGACTCACTACGGTACTAATAACTGGCGACGCTAAGCGCAATGGATGTAGAGCTGGGAAGATTCTGGCTTGCATATACCGTGCGGAAAGCAACACATATCTGTGTGGAGTCGGGCGCCTTTTTTTTTAGCAGCGCTTTTGCCGTTGTTCGCGTCTGTTATCTGGTTTCATTGCCCCTAGCGCGTTTGCCACTGGGCGCAATCTGGTGGTTTTGTGCGTGACGTGATTTTGTGACGCGTTTTTCTTTGCGAGGTTCCAGATTGACTAGGGAAGGTTTGGTGAAGGCTTTTCTGTTTGCGAAGAGGCAAGTTGGTTTTGCCTTGTTTTGCAATTCCAATTTTGAATCTCTGGTTCCTCGTCATGTTCGCAGCCAATCGCAAACCTCTCGCCCTCTCCCGAGCCGCGCACTGCAAACTTGCTTTTC